TAACCACTCTTGGCACACAGAACTCCCATGACCAACAGAAAATACTGGAAGGGTTTAGTGGGCATTGACCTTGAGTCTAGGAGTTGTAGTTCACATACAATAAAGAGCACTGTGGACTCAAACAATGATGGATCTGGACCAAACTTGGCACAAATGCTCAATATGCCTAAATGTGAACACTGGTGGATTTTGGGAAAAACAGACCTTGACATTTGGGAGTTGTAGTTGCTGGGATTTATAGTTCACTTACAATCAAAGAGCATTCTGAACCCCACCAACGATAGAATTGGGCCAAATTTCCCACACAAAACCATGACCAACAGAAAATACTGTGTTTTCTGATGGTCTTTGGTGACCCCTCTGACCACCCCCCCTTGACCCGACCCCAGGTTGGGAAATGCTGAGTTAAGTGATATTTGTCTCTACTGTCCTAATGTAGCACAAGTCATACTACGTATTTTTGACGTTAATATTGAAATCTGAAATATATTCAGAAAGTCTTAACTTCTCTGCCAATGAGGGCTAATGGCAAACTACAACTCCCTGGGTCCCACAGCTTTGAGTCACGGCATTGAAGTGGTATCAAATTGCATTAACTCGACAGTGTAGATGCGCCTTCTGATGCTTGTTACAATTCTACTGGTTTCGCCATGTTTCGATAGAGCTTGTCTTTCTGTTTCTGCAATTTATATTATAAACAACTTCTGCATTTTGTGTTGGGGGAAAAAAGTCAGGATATAAACAAGTGGATTAAATAAAGAGGATTTGACAAGTTTTTCAAACCTGCTATTTTTTTTTATTCAGCTGTGCAAATCCATTATATAGTAAACCCTTTTCATATTTTATTTTTCACACAAGCAATCATAACATGATGCGAAGCAGTGCAAACCGTCCCTTGCAGAACAATAAACTATGTTCAAAGGTACTCTGGAAAGAGCAAATTGTATAAAAAAGTGCATAAAGTTTTAAGGCTTTGAGCATGGCGATCTCCATTCCAAACATCTTTCCTATTTCTAATGCTCTAAAGTAAATGTGGGGAGAAGCTGGTGTTCAAATAGGAGCACTACGTTGATGCTTACGGTTGCCAACGTTAAACTGAAAAAGGCTGCTGTATTTTTTAATGGGGATTTCCAGAGATATTGCTTCTTGCCTGGTCATGTGGGTGCATCTACACTGCAGAATAAATGCAGTTTGACACCACTTTAACTGCTATGGAATGCTGGGAGTTGTAGTTTTAAAAGGTCTTCCCTTCTGAAGAGTGCCTTACCTAACTACAACTTCCGGGATTTCATAGCACTGAGCCATGGCAGTGCAAAGTGGTGTCAAACTGCATTCATGCCCTAGTGTAGATGCACTTACAATTTCAACAAGTATTGCTTCTTACCTGGCCGTGTGGGTGCATCTACACTGCAGAATGAATGCGGTTTGACACCACTTTAACTGCTATGTCTCAATGCTATGGAATGCTGGGAGTTGTAGTTTTAAAAGGTCTTCCCTTCAAAAGAGTGCGTTACCAAACTACAACTCCCAGGATTCCATAGCACTGAGCCATGGCAGTGCAAAGTGGTGTCAAACTGCATTCATTCCTTAGTGTAGATGCACTTGCAATTTCAACAAGTATTGCTTCTTACCTAGCAGTGTGGGTGCATCTACACTGCAGAATGAATCCAGTTTGACACCACTTTAACTGCTATGTCTCAATGCTATGGAATGCTGGGAGTTGTAGTTTTAAAAGGTCTTCCCTTCGAAAGAGTGCGTTACCAAACTACAACTCCCAGGATTCCATAGCACTGAGCCATGGCAGTGCAAAGTGGTGTCAAACTGCATTCATTCCGCAGTGTAGATGCACCTTCAACAAGCAAAATCTGCTTTTAAAAATCCCATTAAGGGGCGGTAAGGAATTTCCAACTTTCCAACTGGGCACCTTAAATCCTCTTCCAAATAACAGAGAATGTTTTTAAAGGCAGGGAAAAACATCCTGGAAGAAATTATTGATATGTTTACATTGGCGATGCATATGCCGTCTTCTGCAAATAGAAATCGATTGGTGTCTAGACAATAATGGAGGAAGTCATCGATATGCAGAATGTGTTAATACGGGTCTGGGTTGGCTTAAGCAGACCTCTTCCTCACTCTCTCTGGGGCTGGACCTGCACTGTAATTCAATGCAGTCTGAACTGCATTATTTGGTCAGCAGAGACCCATACAATGCAGTTCAAATGGCATTACATAGGTCTACTTACTGACCACATAATGCAGCTCAAACTGCATTATATAGCAGCCTGGGATTCAATTATAATTTCTGTAAAAAGAGGATGATCCACTTTATCCATCCACTCATATTGCCATATATCCAGGATTTTAACTAATTTGCCATATACATATAATACCTAACTTAATGTCTAATGAAAGGAGTTTATTGGTTTTCTTTGAGCTGTTTGGCTACATATGTTTTCCAGTTATTTTGGCATTAATCATGCGCTCGATTTCTCCCTGCCCCATGCTCTCCAATGCCATTGCAATTTGGAATTAAAATCAACGGGGATGTTTTCACCTCCTGGAAACTAAGGCAAGGAAAATAGGAACCGGATTGTTGTAGGTTTTTTCCTCAGAGGTAGTGAGGATGCTTGCCATAGATGCAGGCGAAACGTCAGGAGAGAATGCCTCTAGACCATGGCCATATAGCCCGAAAAAACCTACAACAACCCAGTGATTCTGGCCATGAAAGCCTTTGACAATACAAAAAATAATGCAATGCTCAACCCATGGAAGAGTTAACTTCCCCGCAAGACCTGAGCACATGCCGAATGTGGCACGTTCTCATTGGGCTGCGGTGACATCATGCCAAGCTGGGTAAACGCCTCGCCTATTTCCAGACTGTTTTCTCCCCCTCCCCAAAGCTGCTATCAATCTTCTAGCTGCGGCTGCTGCGCATGATGCAAGCATGGCTTGCATGGCTCGAATGGGGAAGGCTTATCATTCCAGTTGAGGGGAGGGGGGGGGAAGCAGGGGCGCCTGGCACATGGCTTGCCACTCTCCTCATCTCTCGTGCCCCAAATGATAATGCCGTATCTGAAGTAGTGTGGGCCGCACCATGTTCCACTGAGTCACCCCATGCATGTGCTAGTCTCTATCAGCCCACTAAATGGGACTTCATGGGTGCAAATCAAAGCAAAGCTTTCCAAAAAAGGGACTTGTCAAATGGTGCATGAGCAGCACATAGTGAGCTGCGCATAGGGAGCACCGCCCCACACGAGCCCCACTTTGTGCCCCACTTGTAAATCTCTCTCTACTTTGTCTCAAGGGTTAATGGCTGCTTGGTAGCAATCTAGGTCTGCTCTGGATTCGAGTCTAGGCTTGTAAGAAGCCATTGAATCCCTTTAACATTCAGACTAAAGGCCACAGTGGGTTCACGACATATTGAGGATTGCAGCAGGTTCAACATCCAGGTCCATTGGTTCTTATTGATACATTTAATATAGGTTCTTATTGCTATATTGCCGAAGGCTTTCATTGCCGGAATCACTGGGTTGTTGTAGGTTCTTTCGGGCTATATGGCCAGGTTCTAGAGGCATTCTCTCCTGACTTTTCGCCTGCATCTATGGCAAACATCCTCAGAGGTTGTGAGGTATGTTTTCCTAGTTCCAACAGACCTCACTACCTCTGAGGATGCTTGCCGTAGATGCAGGCGAAACGTCAGGAGGGAATGCCTCTAGAACATGGCCATATAGCCCGAGAGAACCTACAGCAACCCTCTTATTGATATATTTAATTAGGTTAAATATATCAATAAGATAGATAGGTTCTTATTGATATATTTAATTCTGCAACCCACAGCGTAGGAATGTGACCTCCCCAGGGATCACAAGGACCAAGGGTGCATCTACACTATAGAATTAAAGCAGTTTGGCACCACTTCAACCTCCGTGGCTCAATACTATGGAATCAGACAAGTTGGAATTTGGTGAGGCATCGACACTCTTTCGCAGAGAAGGTGGAAGATCTGCACAACTACAACACCAATGTTTCCATAGCATTGAGTCATGGTAGTTGAAGTGCTTCCAGAACGCGAAATGTACAGTGCAGATGCTGCCTTGCTTTACATCCCCACAAACCAAAACAGAATCTATCTAAAGCAGTTACTTTTACTGGGTCGAAGTTTGGGGATCATTGTAAAAGGGATAAACAAAAGAGCAAGGTTTTGTCTCAAATCCAAAACAAAAGAGTGAGACCTCCCTCCAGGAATCACAAGGACTAGGCATGCATCTGTACTATAGAATTAAAACAGTTTGACGCCACTTTAGCTTCCACTGTGAAATCCGATGGAACCATGGGAGTTGTAGTTTTGCAAGGCTCTGGCCCTCTTTTGCAGAGAAAGCTAAAGACCCTGTAAAACTACAACTCCATGTTTCCAAAGTATTGAACCAGACCATTTAAAGTGGAGTCAAACTGCATCGGTTCTACTGTGTAGATGCATCACATGGCTCTGAAAGCTTATACTACTAACTGTGTTCTCTTATGGTACATCTAAATCGGGCATGGGCAAACTTTGGCCCTCCAGGGGTTTTGGACTTCAACTCCCACAATTCCTAACAGCCTACCGGCTGTTAGGAATTGTGGGAGTTGAAGTCCAAAACCACTGCAGGGCCAAAGTTTGCCCACGCCTGATCTACATAAACGATACAATCAGCACAGTTGGACACCACTTGTACTGCCACGGCTCAGTCCCATGGAATCCTGGGAGTTGTAGTTTGGTGTGATATATTCAGCCTTCTCTGCCAATGAGTCTGGCGCCTGACCAAACTACAACTCCCAGGATTCCTATAGCATGGAGCCATGGCAAGTTGAAGCAGGGTCAAACTGTATAGATGCATCTTCGCTCTACATTCCCCAAACACTGAAACTGGATCGATCCAATGCTTTTGCTGCCTCCTACTCCATCAACGTAGGTTAAATTTGCAAAAGAAAAAGAAATAAGGAGTGCAAATATATATATAATAATAATATGACAAAGGATTAATTAAAGAGGGAGGTTTCGTCAGTTGGGATAGTCCGCTTTGATGCGGACCTGAAGCGGGCAGATCTGGAACGGTTCGTTCAGAGGTTTGGACGCATCAGAGGCGCGGAGGCCGAAGTACGGGAAAACTTCCCCAAATATGTCGTGGAAAGTATAGATGTGGTCCCTGCCTTCGGCATTGTAGAAGGAAAGCTCCCCTTCGTTGCAGTCCAGCTCCACCCTCAGCCGCTTCAAGTCCTTCCAGCACCCTGAGTTGGACAGCACCGACTTGGAGGAGAGGCTCTTGCTGCCGATGCCTTGCATGCGGTACACGTACACGGAGCCCAGGCGGGATTCGCACCCGATGCTCCAGTAATGGCCGCCAGTCTTGCGGGCCACACCCATGTACCAGTACTCGTTGCTGCCCACGTCGACCTCCCACGCGTGGGGCCCTCCAGTGAAACTCCTCGAGCCCAGAACGCAGGGCATGCTGTTGGAGAAGCTCTCCGGGACCTCCACCATCAGCTTGTACGTGCAGGCGCTGATACTGGAGAGGTCGTCGGAAACCTCCAGCCAACCAGTGGAAGTGTTCGGGTCGAAACTGAATGGGACTGTGGGAAAAGGAGATATTTATTTATTAATTTCGAACATTTTTACCCCGCCCTTCTCAACCCTTGGGGGGGACTCAGGGCAGCTTACAATTGGCAATAATTCAATGCCGCATCATAAAATACAGAATAACAAATATAACAATTAAACATGAACATTAATAAATAAAGATTAAAACAGTATACTTACAGAGTTGGAAGAGACCTCATGGGCCATCCAGTCCAGCCCCATTCTGCCAAGAAGCAGGAATATTGCATTCAAATCACCCCTGACAGATGGCCATCCAGCCTCTGTTTAAAAGCTTCCAAAGAAGGAGCCTCCACCACACTCCGGGGCAGAGAGTAAATAACATTGACTAGGGAAGTCATGCTACCCATGCTCTATTCTGCCTTGGTTAGACCACATCTGGAATACTGTGTCCAATTCTGGGCACCATAATTGAAATGGAGATGTTGACAAGCTGAAATGTGTCCAGAGGAAGGTGACTAAAATGATCAAGAGTTTGGAGAACAAGCCCTATGAGGAGCAGCTTAAAGAGCTGGGCATGTTTAGCTTGAAGAAAAGAAGGTCGAGAGGAGACATGATAACCATGTATAAATATGTGAGAGGAAGTCACAGGGAGGAGGGAGCAAGCTTGTCTTCTGCTTCCCTGGAGATTAGGAGGGCCCTAGCTCAGATCCATGGCAGTGAAAGTGGTGCTAAACTGCATTCATTCTGCTATGCAGATGCACGCTTGGTTAATCATGCATTGCTGCCCTCTTGTGGCTACAAGAATCCCTTTCCTGGCTAGCCTGAAAAGCAGGCAGTGGGAAAACAACACTTGTCCCATTTGCTTTCATTCCACTGCGGTGGCGCCATGGGTTAAACCCTTATTCCGGCTGGACTGCTGACCTGAAGGTTGGGTTGACCCTAAAGTTGCCAGTTTGAATCTACGAGACAGGGTGAGCTCCCGTCTGTCAGCTCTAGCTTGTGGGGACATGAGAGAAGCCTCTCAGCAGGATGGTAACACATTCGGGCGTTCCCTGGGAAACGTCTCTGTAGACGGCCAGTTCTCTCATACCAGAAGCAACTTGCAGTATGTTCTCAAGTCACTTTCTGACAGGATAAAAAAATCCATGCATGAAGGCAAAATACATGTGTGATTTGCAAGGAAATATATCCTTGCACATATTCAATCGGTTTTGGGCATAGTTTGTGCCAAAATACATTGCAACCACGTTGCATGCCATCCACCCTGCACTCCATGAAACCTACCAACTTTGATGATATCCAGCATTTTCTTCCAAACCGTATACTGTAAGGAATCCAAGTATTTTGTCATTTCTATCAGGGTACCTGATGGGATTGCTTCCGGCTTCTCAATGGTCCATGCAATTCTGAGGAGCAAAGTCCAGAAAAGATCAGAAGCGAGCATTAATTTATTTTTATTATATTTTTCACAGCAATTTAATAATAATAATTTCACACAGTCCTATAATAATATGAAATAATATAAATATAATAATAATAATACATCACACAGTCCTAGATGCTTGCGAAGTGTTCGACTTGTGATTTTTTGATACGAAATCCAGCATATAGATCTCATTTGCTGTGACATACTGTGCTTTTGTGTCAGTAGAAATAATAATAATTTCAATGCAATAGTAACTCCATAGTATTCCCACTCCACTACATACAAAACCTCATCCCTGGCAACCAAAACAAACAAACTATCACTCAGTTATTATCTATCTATCGATCTATCTATCGATCTATCGACCATTTCATCCTAGATTTTCTGTGTTTCCTGCACCACAGACACCCTAGTGCAGTGTTTCTCAACCTTCCTAATGCCGCGACCCCTTAATACAATTCCTCATGCTGTGGTGACCCCCAAACATAAAATTATTTCATTGCTACTTCATAACTGTAATTTTGCTACAGTTATGAATCATAATGTAAATATCTGATATGCAGGATGTGTTTTCATTCATTGGACCAAATTTGGCACAAATACCCAATACATCCAAATTTTGACATTTGGGAGTTTTAGTTGCTGGGATTTATAGTTCACCTACAATCAAAGAGAATTCTGACATTTTGCCTGCATCTATGGCAAGCATCCTCAGAGGTGAGGTCTGTTGGAACTAGGAAAAAGGGGTTTATATATCTGTGGAATGACCAGGGTGGGACAAAGGACTTTTGTCTGCTGGAGCTAGGTGTGAAAGTTTCAACTGACCACCTTGATTAGCATATAATGGTGTGACAGAGCATGGAGCAAACTTTTGTTGAGAGGTGATTAGATGTCCTTGTTTGTTTCCTCTCCGTTGTTGTGCTGTTGCAATTTTAGAGTTTTTTTTAATACTGGTAGCCAGATTTTGTTCATTTTCATGGTTTCCTACTTTCTGTTGAAATTGTACACATGCTTGTGGATTTCAATGGCTTCTCTGTGTAGTCTGACATGGTGGTTGTGAGCTGATCAAATCAAGGTAGGTGAAACGCCAGGAGAGAATGCCTCTAGACCATGGCCATATAGCCCGAAAAAAACCTACAACAACCCAGTGATTCCGGCCATGAAAGCCTTTGACAATACAAAGATACTGTTTTCTGATGGTCTTTGGTGACCCCTCTGACACCCCCTCATGACCCCCTCAGGGGTCCCGACCCCCAGGTTGAGAAACGCTGTCCTATGGCCTATTACAGTGTTCCCTCGCTACTTTGCGGTTTGCTTTTTGCGGACTCGCTGTTTTGCGGTTTTTAAAAAATATGCATTTAAAATATACAAGTAACGAGGGAACACTGTACTGTATACCTGTTACCTCATCCGGAGTTTCGGGGTGAGGTGTTATCTGTACGCAGATGACGTCCAGCTCTGTCACTCCTTTCCACCTGCTACTAAGGAGGCTGTCCAGGTCCTGAACCGGTGCTTGGCTGATGAGGGCAAACAAATTGAAATTGAATCCAGACAAGACAGAGGTACTCCTGGTTAGTCGTAAGGCCGAACAGGGTATAGGGTTACAGCCTGTGTTGGACGGGGTCGCTCTCCCCCTGAAGACGCAGGTTCGCAGCTTGGGTGTGACTCTGGACTTCTTCGCTAAGCTTGAACCCCAAGTTTCAGTGGTTTCCAGAGGAGCATTTGCACAGCTTCGGCTCGTGCGCCAGCTGCGCCCGTACCTTGGGAAGTCTGACTTGGCCACGGTGGTCCACGCTCTTGTCACATCCCGTATAGACTACTGCAACGCGCTCTACGTGGGGTTGCCCTTGAAGACTGCCCGGAAGCTTCAGATGGTCCAGCGCTCGGCAGCCAGGTTGCTAACGGGAGCGGCTCTCAGGGAGCACACCACCCCCCTGCTGAACCAGCTCCACTGGCTGCCAATTCGCTACCGGGCACAATTTAAGGTGCTGGCTTTAGCCTATAAAGCCCTACACGGTTCCGGCCCCACTTACCTCTCCGAACGCATCTCCTCCTACGAACCGGGAAGAGCGTTAAGATCTTCCGGGGAGGCCCTGCTCTCGGTTCCGCCGGCGTCACAAGTGCGGCTGGCGGGCACGAGAGACAGGGCCTTCTCGGTGGTGGCCCCTCGGCTATGGAATGCGTTACCAGTGGACATCAGGCAGGCCCCTTCGTTACTGGTGTTTCGGAGGAGGGTGAAGAGTGGCTCTACGAGCAGGCATTCGGATAACTATGCAGTAACAACTAACTCAATAATGACGGCATCGGACAAGGAATGGAAAAGGATCTTGAGATCGGAATCTGATTCTAAGTATGGCGTTGATGATTATGTGTTTTGTTTGTATTGTGCGTCTCATATATTGTTTAGTGTTGCTTTTTACTGTAAACCGCATTGAGTCGCCGCCTCAGGCTGATATATGCGGTATACAAATAGAGTAAATAAATAAATAAATAAATACCTGTGAGAACCCCCCACGTGTGGTTAAAATCATCCCCTCTAATGCCATGTTTCCAAGTGCAGCCACTGAAAGGCAAAGAAACTGCGCACGAGTGGTGAAGGAGGAGGAGAGGGGGAGCCAGGCGCGAGAGGAAGAGCCAGCGGGAAGCGTAGTGTGCAAGGGGAGGGAGGGAGGGAGGGAGAAAGAGGAGAAGAAAGGGAAGGCAAAGGGATTGAGTGAGTGAGTGAGAGGGGGAGAGAGGAGTAGGCAGAGCCACTCCTAGAAGAGGGTGGTCCTACACCTCGCTTCCGCTGAGGAGTACTGTACACATATAACGTCCCTACTTTGTGGATTTTCACTTATCGCGGGTGGTCCTGGAATGTAACACCCGCGATAAGTGAGGGAACACTGTACTGTATTTCAACCATTCCATTCTATACAATATCTTCTTTTCTTTCCTCCTTCTTTCTCAATATCTTAAGTCTCCTTGACTGTTTTTTCCTGCTAAGAGTCTTGAGAAGAGGTAATAAACAAAATGTTAGTAAACAATCGAGAAGAAAAACAAAACACTGACCTGCGCTTCCGGCTTTTGTGTTTCTGCGAAGGAAAAAAGAAAGGCAAGAGAATTCCATGTTAGAATATGTGCATGTTCAAACCAAGGGCAAAAAACAAAGAGCAGAAACCAAGCTACAGCAATATCATCCAGCGTGGATAAATCATCATCCAGCATGTAACGGCACAGTTGCTACCAGTTACTGTGCTGGTACGGCTGTACCAGGAGCTTCAGCTTCATTTTCTTTCTATTGAGTGTTTGCATATATTCCAAAGTTCCATGCATTTTGCAGTAAGGGGGCTTCCCTTGGTTTGCAATTATAGGGCCAATGACCCATCAATCATTGTGAAGTTTTGGTTCTGTCCGACTCTGGGGGTTGGTGCTCATTTCCATTTCTAAGCTGAGGAGCCGGCGTTGTCCGTAGACAACTCCAAGGTCATGTGGTTGGCAGGACTGCATGGAGCGCTGTTGCCTTCCCGCTGGAGCGGTAACTATTAATCTACTCACATTTGCATGTTTTCAAACTGTTAGGTTGGCAGAAGCTGGGGCTGGCACCGGAAGCTCACGCCACTCCCCAGATTTGAACCTGCGACCTTAAGCAAGTTCAGCAGCTCAGTGGTTTAACCCACTGTGCCCACCGGGGGCCATACAGCCCAGAAAACTCACAGCAACCCAATCTGAAACCCATCCTCTAATGCAAATGCACCCAGAATCTCCCACTGCCAATTGTACATGGAATTCCCTTTGCAGCAAGCTGAGAGTGAAAGTGGAGGAGAAACCAGGACATTTGACAAGTCACCAGGTATATTGGGATGGCAGAGGATTAACTGGGACGTTCATGGCCAAACCCAGTCTTTTGTGGGGTATGGGGAGATTGAAAATCTGCATGATGAAATGGAGAACAATCTTCCATTTTTATCTTGAGGAATCCCGCTGGAGCACTGCAGCACACCCAAATACCTGGGAGTCACTCTGGACCGTGCTCTGACCTACAAGAAGCACTGCCTGAACATCAAGCAAAAAGTGGGTGCTAGAAACAATATCATACGAAAGCTGACTGGCACAACCTGGGGATCACAACCAGACACAGTGAAGACATCTGCCCTTGCACTATGCTACTCTGCTGCTGAGTTCGCATGCCCAGTGTGGAACACATCTCACCACACTAAAACAGTGGATGTGACACTTAATGAGACATGCCGCATTATCACGGGGTGCTTGCGCCCTACACCACTGGAGAAATTACACTGCTTAGCCGGTATTGCACCACCTGACATCCGCTGGGAAGTAGCAGCCAATAGTGAAAGGACCAATACAGAGACATCTGCAGCTCATCCCTTGTTTGGGTATCAGCCAGCACGTCAATGACTTAAATCAAGAAATAGTTTTCTAAGATCTACAGAGACACTCGCTGGAACACCCCAGCAAGCGAGAGTCCAAACGTGGCAGACTCAAACCCAGCACCTCAATCAATGGCTGATCCCAAATGAGAGACTCCGTCCTGGGCACACAGAAGACTGGGGGACTTGGAAGGCGCTGAACAGACTGCGCTCTGGCACCACGAGATGCAGAGCCCACCTTAAGAAATGGGGCCACAAAGTGGAATCCATGACATGCGAGCGCGGAGAAGAGCAAACCACTGACCACCTGCTGCAATGCAACCTGAGCCCTGCCACATCCACGATGGAGGACCTCCTTGCGGCAACACCAGAGGCACTCCAAGGGGCCAGATACTGGTCAAAGGACATCTAATCAACTACCAAGCTTGCAAACATTGTGTTTTGCCTGTCTGTTTGTTTTGTTCTGTTAGAAATGTAATATACATGTCTGGTTGCTGATGACACGATAAATAAATAAATAACCTTGAGGAAGGAGACGTCATCAACCTTCATGTCAGCTTGGAGCTGGCCAACTTCTTGCAGCAGGATGTCACTCTCCTCCTTCAGCTTTTTGATTTTGTCTTCAACCAGCTGCTGTTTCCTCTGGGTCTCCTCTTGCAGCGCCTCCAGCATCACCTTCTCTTCGTTCCACAGGAAGTCGTGCAGCTCCTGGAACTGCCTTTTAATCTCCTTTTGCAGCCGGACGCCTTCCGCCTGAAAGGAAGGCAGAAGGAGAGGGCCACATCGGGATGGGTCAAGCACTACGGCATCAGTCTCCCATAAGGAGGGAAAAGTGGGATACAAAGAAACATAATAAATAATAGGTTCTTGTGGGTTTTTTTCGCTATATGGCCCTGTTCTAGAGGCATTATCTCCTGAGTTTCCCTGCATCTATGGCAAGCATCCTCAGAGGTCGTGAGGTCTGTTGGAATTAGGACAATGGGTTTATATATCTGTGGAATGACCAGGGTGGGACAAAGAGCTTTTCTCTGCTGGAGCTAGGTGTGAATGTTTCAACTGACCACCTTCATTAGCATTTGAAGGCCTGCCTGAGCCTGGGAAAATCTCTTGCTGAGAGGTGTTAAGATGTGCCTGGTTGTTTCCTCTCTGTTAATTAGCATTTCATTAGCAGGCCTTCAAATGCTAATGAAGGTGGTCAGTTGAAACATTCACACCTAGCTCCAGCAGAGAAGAGCTCTTTGCCCCACCCCAGCCATTCCACAGATATATAAACCCATTTCCTAATTCCAACAGACCTCACTACCTCTGAGGATGCTTGCCATAGATGCAGGCGAAACGTCAGGAGAAATGCCTCTAGAACATGGCTCTATCGCCCGAAAAAACCCACAAGAACCTAGTGATTCCAGCCATGAAAGCCTTCGACAATACATAATAAATAATAATTATTATAATAAAGTTATTCAAAGCCCCCAGGTCCTCCATGTTTGTTCTTCTCCTGTGAGCATGGAGAGAGACAAGATGTCTCCAGACAGAGAGATAGCTGGGCGCATCCTTTCCTAAACAGAAATGCAGTTCTTAGAATTAAAGTCTTATAACTTTCAAAGCTTGACTCTGAAATTTGCTAAAGTTTATTAATTCTTCTGCTGCGCCCAAGAAGCTTCTGATCTGCTAAAACTATTGCCCTAGTTGCTGATTTACTTTTTTAAATGCCTATGCTTTTGTGGGAGATGCAATGTTATTTTATGTGATGTGTTCAATAATGTTTAATGTGTTACCAGGGGAGCATCGACTTTAAAGTTTCATACTGTTTATCAATGGCATTGAATTGTTGCCAACATTGTGAACCTCCCTGAGTCCGCTTTGGGGTTGAGAAGGGCCGTATACAAATACGGCAAGTAAAATATATACAAATGCTCTGTGCATAATGAGTACCTTAAAAACAAAAGAACCAATGAACGAAATCACACCAAATTTGGCAACAAAACGTCTCACAACACAAGGAGTGACCATCACTCAAAAATTATGATTTTGTCATTTGGGAGTTGTAGTTGCTGGGATTTATAGTTCACCTACAATCAAAGAGCATTCTGAACTCCACCAATGATGGAATTGAACCAATCTTGGCAGGTAGGACTCCCCTGACCAACAGAAAACACTAGAAGGGTTTGGTGGGCATTGACCGTGGGTTTTGGAGTTGTAGTTCACCTACATCCAGAGAACACTGTGGACTCAAACAATGATGGATCTGGACCAACCTTGACAGGAATACTCAATATGCCCAAATGTGAACACAGATGGAGTTTGGGGAAAATAGACCTTGACATTTAGGAGTTGTAGTTAGTAGGATATATAGTTCACCTACAATAAAAGAACATTCTGAACCCCAGCAACGATGGAATTGGGCCAAACATCCCACACAGAACCCCTATGACCAACAGAAAATTCTGTGTTTTCTGGTGGTTTTTGGTGACCCTTCCAACACCCCCTCGCAATCCCCTCAGGGGTCCCAACTCCCAGGTTGAGAAATGCTGCCTTAAGGCCATCCAGTCCAACTCCCTTCACCAGGGCAAGAAAACATAATCAAAGCCCTCCTGACAAAGGGCCATCCAGCCATTCACACACACACACATATGTATATGACAGATGCAGTATCAAGATTTGAAAGGGACCCCTAAAGAAGGACAATGATATGTTGCATGTTCCAGGTGGGCAAACCAGAAAATCTCCACATCAACACTGGCAAAGAAACAGCAAGAAATACTGTTTACCCACAAGCAGAAAGACATCACATATATTAGAAACCAACACTTTCTCATTATTTTCCAGATCACCAGACTGGGCCACAGCAACGTGTGGCAGGAGACCGCTAGTAATACATAAATAAGTAATTTTCCCTTTTTTGAAATTACCCAACAGGCTCCACTTTAACTGTCATGGGATCTTGGGAGTTTTAGTTGTACAAAGTGGAGCTCTCTGCCTCCGAGTCCAGTGCAACCCCCCCTTTGGAAGCTTTTAAACAAAGGCTGGGTGGCCATCTGTCAAGTGTGCTTTGATTGTGCTTTTCCTGCATGGGGTTGGAATGGATGTTCCCTGGGGGTCCCTTCCAACTCTGTTATTCTGTGATTCTTTGACCTTCTCTGCCAAAGAGAGTGGGTGCCTTGATAAACCACAACTCCCAGGATTCCATAGCATTGAGCCATGGCATTTAAAGTGGTGTCAAATTACAATAGATCTACAGTGTAGATGCACCTATTGACCGGGTTTCTCTTCCTGCATGGAATTTGCTTACCTTATTGTGGTTTCCAATGAGTGTATAGTCAAATTGCATTCTTGCAAAATCCTTGATTTTGTCATGCATGGCATTCTCCATATCCTTACATTTGTCCTGCGATTCAAAGGACAAAAGAGCGATGTGTTAAACATTTTCACCTCCAAATTGGACTACTGTAATGCGTTCTATGTGGGGCTGCCCTTGAAAACGGCCCAGAAATTTCAGTTGGTCCAACAGGCGGCAGACAGGTTGTTAACTGGTGCTCCTTGCAGGGAGCGGTCAACCCTCCTGTTTAAGGAGCTCCATTGCCTGCCTTTCATTTTCCGGTCCCAATTCAAGGTTCAGGTTCTTACCTACAAAGCCCTGAACGGTTTGGGACCTGCCTACCTGCGTGACCACATTTCTGTATACGAACCCACACGATCTCTTCAATCATCTGGAGAGGCCCTTCTCACGCTCCTACCTGCACTGCAAGCACGATTGGTGGGGACGAGAGAGAGGGCCTTCTCGGTAGTGGCCCAACTCTGGAACTCACTCCCTAAGGATATCAGGCATGCTCCATCTCTGGCAGTCTTCAGGAGGAGCTTGAAAACGTGGTTGTTCCAGTGTGCTTTCCCAGAATAATGAATCCTTAGCATTATGTCCTCCAAAAGCACTTTATATTGCTTGTATTTCTCCTTCAACGCCCACCTTCTTTGTTGTGTTCATGCCTAGCATTATTTTTTAAACTTCAATTACATTTGGCCCAGCCATAGATATTAAATGTGCACTGTACCTTGTCTAATGTTTATGCTATTTGTGTATGAGATTTATTTTAATTGCTTTGCATTGTGTCTGTTATTGCTTGTATTGCCTGTATTGATGTATTGTGGGTTCGGCCTCATGTAAGCCGCTCCGAGTCCCATAAGGCGATGGTAGCAGGGTATAAATAAAGTTTTATTATTATTATTATTATTATTATTATTATTATTATTATTATTATTATTATTATTTAACAATGCAGCTTTTTCATCCCTAATCCAGAATCCAGAAATACTCCAAATTGTCCGAGACAGTGACATATCTGCTTTGGGATGGCTCACTGAACACAAAAAAACTTGGTTTCATGCACAAAGATATTTTTTTAAAAACATTGCACAAAAGGACTGAGAGGAATGCACTTGCCGCCAATTGCACAGACGTGTGTTGCTGAATTGTACAGGTGTTGCCACACTATCACCAATTGTGCAGATGTGGATGTTATGTAGGGAATTTATCCCAGGCCTCAATTGTGTAGATGAGTATGTTATGGAGAAGGCCAATTATTATTTGTAAATTAAGGTAACTGCCACCGACGTGAGGTAATTGAGGTACCACCGATGAGATCTGGCTCCACAGATGCAGATCAGATGAGATGAGACAGTTTTCAACAAAAGATAACAAATTTATTGTGTACAAAGCGTATGGCTGCAGGCTGTTAAATAACTTATAGAACTTTGAATATCACTTGGTTAACAATACAGTCCACTCTTCCCTATAACACAGCTTGTGGCTAACTTTCACTGAGGTGAAGCTCTTTAGTGAACAATGTTTCCTACTATAAATAGCCTTTCAATTTTATCTTTCCTTGATCAAATCTCTGATTTCTAGTCCTTCCTTGACTAGGGATCTTAACAAGCTTCCTTTAGTCTTCCTTGACTAAAGAAACTTGCCAGGTTTCTTTATTCAGCCCTCCTAGACTGAAAAACCCCAGGTGCTCACACACACCTCTCTCCTAGGCTTTCCAAGCCTCACTCTCCCTTTTTTTAAAACGCACATAACTTTTCCTGCTTGGCTCCGCCCACTTCTCACTCTCATGAGCCAGCCAGCTTTGTTTCCTTGGCAACGCTCACTGTGGATTCAAACCAGGTGGCTCTAGTTTTAGCTACTGTTACAAACCCAAATATATACTATAACGGTTAAACATAAACATAATATCAATGGCTTCTGCACAAGGACCTTCAAGCAATGTGTAAAAGGCCAGAGGGAAACATCAATGGATTTCAGATTCAGACTTCGATCCTATCTCCAAAATCACTTATTATTATTATTATTATTATTATTATTATTATTATTACGATGAGGGTTGAATGAAAAGTAATGCCTCCACCTTCGTAACTTTGCCAAACAGCAGTACTGATATGCAGAGGTACTGGCTTATTCAGTAAACTCTCCTCTACAGTTCCAATTTGGCGGGAAGCCTTAACACTGAACGGTTGTGTTGTTAAAGTGCAAAGTATGGAACCCTGCGCAGATGGCCGGTCAATACGACTTAAGCAATGTGCAGTTATTGAATTCTTGACAGCAGAAGGTGTCACCCCAAAGGAGATTCATCAGAGAATGCAAGCTGTTGATGGGGATTGTATGGATGTGAGGACTGTGCGTCATTGGGCAAGTAAGTTTAATGATGTTGAGGTGGGAAAATCTGACTTGCGTGACAAACAAAGAGTTGGACATCCTGTGACAGCAACCACTGAGTTTCACAAGCAAAAGGTTGACAGATTGATTCAGGACAATTGTTGTATCATTCAGATTTGATTTTTTGTAAGATTTGTTTGGAAGGGATTTGCTGTTGCCTGAGGCTGAGAGAGTGTGCCTCACCTAATGAGTTTCCATGGCTGAGTAGAGATTCAAATCCAGTGAATCCTAGTCTAATGCGTAAACAACTGTACTACTCAATAATAATAATGACTGGCAGAAAAGAAAATCAAATCAGATGTATTGTCGAAGGCTTTCATGGCTGGAATCACTAAGTTCTTGTGGGTTTTTTCGGGCTATAGGGCCATGTTCTAGAGGCATTTCTCCTGACGTTTCGCCTGCATCTATGGCAAGCTCTATGGCACTCCCCCTGAAGACGCAGGTTCACAGCCTGGGTGTGATCCTGGATTCATCGCTGAGCCTGGAACCCCAGGTTTCAGCGGTGACCAGGGGAGCATTTGCACAGTTAAAGCTTGTGTGCCGGCTGCGCCCGTACCTTGGGAAATCTGACTTGGCCATGGTAGTCCACGCTCTTGTTACATCCCGTTTAGACTACTGCAACGCTCTCTACGTGGGGTTGCCATTGAAGATGGCTCGGAAGCTTCAATTGGTCCAGCGTGTGGCAGCCATGATACTAACAGGGGCGGCACACAGGGAGCATACAACCCCTCTGTTGCGCCAGCTCCATTGGCTACCAATCTGCTACCGGGCCCAATTCAAAGTGCTGGCTTTGGCCTATAAAGCCCTAAACAGTTCTCGCCCAAGTTACCTATCCGATCGCATCTCTACCTATGAACCCACTAGGACTTTAAGATCTTCCGGGGAGGCCCTGCTCTCGATCCTGCCTGCAACACAGGCACGACTGGCGGGGACGAGAGACAGGGCCTTCTCGGTGGTGGCCCCTCGGCTGTGGAACGCCCTTCCCATGGACATCAGATTGGCTCCCTCTTTGTTGGTATTCCGGAGAAAAGTGAAAACATGGCTATTCGAACAGGTGTTTGAATAAGCAGTGCAATGACTTCAGGAATGGAACTACGACAGACGAGTTTGGATCATGATTCTAGTTATGAGACGCCACTTGAATGTTTATTACTTTTAAATTGTTTCTGTGTTAATTGTTTTTAAGTATCTGTTGATGCCGCATTGAATTTTTGCCTTGATTGTTTGCTTTGTTCTTGCTTGATTGTTGTAAACCGCTATGAGTCGCCTTAGGGCTGAGAATAGCGGTATACAAATGAAGTAAATAAATAAATAATAAATTAAAACATCCTCACTACCCCTGAGGATGCTTGCCATAGATGCAGGCGAAACGTCAGGAGAAATGCCTCTAGAACATGGCCCTATAGCCCGAAAAAACCCACAAGAACCTAATCAAATCAGAGCTTAGCAGGTCAGATGTCCACTTCCGGTTTCAGGGCAAAGGGAATTTCCACATCTGGATCGATTTGCTGGTCATTCTCAGATCTTGAATCACTCACATCCTGCTATTTCCCACAAACCAAAAGTCAGGAATGAATATGATCGCTTTTATTTTAAGTGACTCACATTATGGCAAGACACAGCTAGAAAGTGGCTGCATGTTGTTGAGTAATTTTGAAAAAGTAAAAAAAAATGTAAAGTAGCAACAATGTATTGTCGAAGGCTTTTATGGCTGGAATCACTGGGTTGTTGTAGGTTTTTTGGGCTATATGGCCATGTTCTAGAGGCATTCTCTCCTGACGTTTCGCCTGCATCTATGGCAAGCATCCTCAGAGGTAGTGAGGTCTTTTGGAACTAGGAAAATGGGTTTATATATCTGTGGAATGACCAGGGTGGGACAAAGAACTCTTGTCTGCTGGAGCTAGATGTGAATGTTTCAACTGACCACCTTGATTAGCATATAATGGCCTGACAGTGCCTGGAGCAAACTTTTGTTGAGAGGTGATTAGATGTCCTTGTTTGTTTCCTCTCTGTTGTTGTGCTGTTGTAATTTTGAGTTTTTTAATACTGGTAGCCAGATTTTGTTCATTTTCATGGTTTCCTCCTTTCTGTTGAAATTGTCCCCATGCTTGTGTATTTCAATGGCTTCTCTGTGTAGTCTGACATGGTGGTTGTGAGAGTGGTCCAGCATTTCTGTGTTCTCAAATCATATGCTGTGTCCAGCTGGTTCATCAGGTGCTCTGCTATGGCTGACTTCTCTGGTTGAAGTAGTCTGCAGTGCCTTTTATGTCCCTTGATTCGTGTTTGGGCAATGCTGCGTTTGGTGGTCCCTATGTAGACTTGTCCACAGCTGCATGGTATACAGTGGACTCCTGCATAAGTGAGAGGATCCCTCTTGTCCTTTGCTGAACGTAGCATTTGTTGGATTTTCTTGGTGGGTTTGTAGATTGTTTGTATGTTGTGTTTCCTCATCAGCTTCCCTATGCGGTCAGTGGTTCCCTTGATGTATGGCAGGAACACTTTTCCTCTGGGTGGATCTTCATCTTTACTCTCGTGGCTTGTTCTTGGTCTTGCAGCTCTTCTGATGTCTGAGGTGGAGTCTCCATTGGCCTGGAGAGCCCAGTTGAGGTGGTTCAGTTCATCTTGAAGGAGATGGGTTCGCAGATTCTTTTTCCATGGTCTGCCAAGGCTTTAATGGTGCAATCACCTCTCAACAAAAGTTTGCTCCAGGCACTGCCAGGCCATTATATGCTAATCAAGGTGGTCAGTTGAAACATTCACACCTAGCTCCAACAGACAAGAGTCCTTTGTCCCACCCTGGTCATTCCAGATATATAAACCCTTTTCCTAGTTCCAACAGACCTCACTACCTCTGAGGATGCTTGCCATAGATGCAGGCGAAACGTCAGGAGAGAATGCCTCTAGACCATGGCCATATAGCCCAAAAAAAACCTACAACAACCTAAAGTAGCAACAATAGCAACAACAGCAGTTTTAGCAGACCAGAATCTTCCTGAGTGCAGCAGTAGAGCGAAACAGGAGCCAAGCCCAGCTTTAAAAGTTACAGAAGACTTTCTTGAAAGAATTAGTGTCTAGATCTAAGGAAGTAATGCTACCCCTCTATTCTGTTTTGGTTAGACCACATCTGGAATATTGTGTCCAATTCTGGGCACCACAATTCAAGAGAGATATTGACAAGCTGGAATGTGTCCAGAGGAGAGCAACTAAAATGATACAAGGTCTGGAGAACAAGCCCTATGAGGAGCAGCTTAAGGAGCTGGGCATGTTTAGCCTGAAGAAGAGAAGGCTGAGAGGGGATATGATAGCCATGTATAAATATGAAAGAGGAAGCCACAGGGAGGAGGGAGCAAGCTTGTTTTCTGCTTCCTTGGAGACTAGGAATCGGAACAATGGCTTCAAACTACAAGAGAGGAGATTCCATCTGAACATGAGGAAGAACTTCCTGACTGTGAGAGCCGTTCAGCAGTGGAACTCTCTGCCCCGGAGTGGTGGAGGCTCCTTCTTTGGAATCTTTTAAACAGAGGCTGGATGGCCATCTGTCAGGGGTGATTTGAATGCAATATTCCTGCTTCTTGGCAGAATGGGGTTGGACTGGATGGCCCATGAGGTCTCTTCCAACTCTTTGATTCTATGATTCTATGATCTATATAGGAAAGTTAGGGCCTAGCTATCTAAATCTCTCTCTCTGGAGACATCTTGTCTCTCTCCATGCTCACAGGAAAAGAACACAATAGTGACTCTGGGGCTGACCATTCTGTCTGGAAACTTTGAATAACAAGAGGCATTTCCCTGAAAAGTGTCAGTCTAACAAATAGAAGGGGAGAATAGAGAAACACAAAGATAGAGAGGGCAATGGGGAAGGGCTTTCCCTGCCAATGAACTCATCTTGCTATCTGTTTCCTTGATGAGGACTACAAACTTGTGCAGGATGTGGCTGCACTTGTGCCCCATGCACTTCAATACACTATTGCCTTTTGCTTCAAGAACAGTTTCAAGCTTCTTGGCCTCTTGTGCAAAATCCCACCTCCAATACCAGGCAAATCAGCAAACTGGAGGTTAACCCAAACCCTTATAAGAGTTTCATACAATATACATGTATTATAAATGTATATATAATATATATTATATATAAGTTTCATGTAATCTTTACTGTATAAAAAGAGTTTGCAGCAACCACAAAAACAAAGTTTCTGGGGGATACCAACTACTGTCAAAGTGAGTGTGGCATAATAAAAGAGAGAGTGGTAAAAATATGATAGCTGGAACCCAGTGCTGGTAGCGCTATGCTGGTTGCGCAACACGGCTCTCGCAAGTCAGCACACTAAGTGAGAGACACAGCTGTGGCAGGATACCAGTGAAGTAATGTCATGCAGGTGGGACAGGATAACACTGAAATAATGTAACAGTAACTGGATTTGATTCATTTTTCACCACTGCTCGTATTTTTCCCCCTCCTTTTTATTCTTCCTCCCAATGCAACTATGTTTTTGAACGTGTTTGCATAGGACAGGGGTCCCCAAAATACGGCCCACGGGCCACTTCCGGCCCATCAAGGGCACTTATCCAGCCCGTGGAGGAGGAGCGCCCCCCCCCCCACACAGTGCCCCTCCCTTGGCTGGATCACGCTATCCGTCAGGCCCAATGGAGTGTGATCCAGCCAAGGGCAGCTGCTCCACGTGGCCTACTCGCGCGTAAAGCACCTCGTGATGTGCTTTACTCACAAGTAGGCTGCACGGTGCTGCTCCTCCCTTAGCAGGCTCACGCTATCCATTAGGCACGATGGGCAGCGTGAGCCAGCCAAGGGCAGCTGCTCCGTGTGGCCTCTCACAAGTAAAGCACCTTACGAGGTGCTTTACTCGCAAGTAGGCCACACGGGGCTGCTCCTCCCTTGGCAGGCTCACGCTATCCGTCAGGCCCGATGGGCAGTGTGAGCCAGCCAAGGGCAGCTGCTCCGCGTGGCCTACTCGTGCGTAAAGCATCTCGCGAGGTGCTTTACGCGCAAGTAGGCCGCAAGGGGCTGCTCCTCCCTTGGCAGGCTCACGCTATCTGTCAGGCCCGATGGGCAGCGTGAGCTAGCCAAGGGCAGCTGCTCTGCGTGGCCTACTCAGGCATAAAGCACCTTGCAAGATGCTTTACTCGCAAGTAGGCTGCACGGGGCTGCTCCTCCCTTGGCAGGCTCACGCTATCCGTCAGGCCCTGATGGACAGCGTGAGCCAGCCAAGGGAGGCTGCCCCGGCGCTCCATGCAGTCATGCTGGCCACATGACCTTGGAGGTGTCTATGGACAATGCCGGCTCTTCGACTTAGAAATGTAGATGAGCACCACAGAGTCAGACACGACTGGACTTCATGTCAGAGGAAAACCTTTAACTAGGAAAATTGTGGAAGATCCAGGGTGGGAGAAAGAACTCTTGTCTGTTGGAGGTAGGTATGAATGTTTCAATTGGCCACCTTGATTACCATTTCATAGCCTGACAGTTTTTGGGAGAATCCTTTGTTGAGAGGTGATTAGCTGGCCCTGATTGTTTCTTGTCTGGAGTTCCCCTGTGTTTGAGTGTTGTTCTTTATTTACAGTTATAATTTTAGAGTTTTTTAAAATACTGGTAGCCAGATTTTGTTCAGACTAGAAATAGGAAGATTTCCCATTCTCTGCTCCTGGAATTACTGCCTAAAGAGGGCTAGAAAGAACCCCCTCTAAGGGCCCTTCCACACAGCAAAATAAGATATGTTCAATGTGCATAGGAATTTTTTAATTGATTTTTTTTTAAAAAAAAAACTATAGTCCGGCCCTCCAACGGTCTGAGGGACAGTGAACTGGCCCTCAGTTTAAAAAGTTTGAGGACCCCTGGCATAGAATCTCCGGATAGCCGAAATCACAATGCTTGCCTGTTTCCCCTCCCCATTTCTACCAAACTAGCTTGTCAACTCTGTTGTAGCTGCATCTCTCACTCAGTCTGGTCTCTCGCGCACGTAGTGCTGTGTCTTGCACACGTGTCCCTTTCTCTAATTCAGAGCCGCGTTATGCAACCAGCACTGAGTCCCAGCTATCATACTTTCACCCAGAGAGTAACAATTTCAAATCAGGAACGGAAAATGTTTCACATTGTGTAATAACAAGAATCATATAGCCAAATGGGCCCACTTGGAGGGAGAGTGGGCCTGCTCACCTTGCAGGTCTTGACCACCTCAGCCACGGGCCTGATGGTATGGTCAGCGTGCTCTTTGGCACCTTGGCACACGAAGCAGACCGGCAGCTTGTCGTCCAGGCAGAACAGCTTGGCCTCCTCCTGGTGCAAAGGGCAGAGGTTGGTGGACCCCTCCTCGGCCTTCCTCTTCTGCTGCTGCCTCTCCTCCTGCTTGAGGAACATCTCCACAATGTTGACCAAGGTGTGGTTGGTGCGCAGGTCCTCGGGGACGCAGGCTGCCTTGCACACAGGGCAGACGTGGGCCCGGCTCTGGCCTTCCCAGGAGCGGGTCACACAGCCCTTGCAGAAGTTGTGCCCACAGCAAAGGGTGGCTGCATCCTTGAAGGGTTCGTAGCAGATGGGGCAGAGCAGCTCCTCCTTCATGGTAGCCGTGGGCGAGGATGTGCCACTGCCACCGGTGGGCATGGAGCCTTGCTCGGCCATCGCTTTGCTGGAAGAGACAGAGAAAAGAAAGGGGAAAGAAAGATGAAGGATTTGCAAACACAGCCTTTCTTCAAGGAAAATCTTCAGTTGCAAGAAACTTCCATCAGCAACTTGTGACTCACAGCTGTAGGCATGCCTTAATAAATCATGGGGCCAAGTCCCGCCTTCACTGTATTTTGGCTTCTGCTTCAGCCAGCTGCAGGAAATGGGCTTTGAATGGCAGTCTGCTTGGCCATTTGCACAAAAATGAGCTTTGATCGACAGCTTGCTTGCCCAGCTGCAGAAAACGGGCTTCGACTGACGGTCCATTTAGCCATTTGCTTCGACTGAGTCTGCTTGTCCATTTGCACAAAAAGGGGGCTTCAAATAGCAATCCACTTGGCCATTTGTACTAAAAATAGGCTTTGATTGACAGCTTGCTTGGCCAGCTGCAAGGAATGAGTTTTGATTGGCAGCTCCCATAGCCAAAGGGGGAAAAGGGAAACCTGAAAAAAATTGAAACCTCTCCAAAGGCAGAAAGGGATTTCCTGAAAAACTCGTGCCAGGGCCACAGGGAGGAACCATGCAACAGGAGGCAAGGGGTGTGTTTGTGTGTGTGGATGAACAGATTGAACGCAAGCCTGAAAAGCTTGCTTTGGGAGTCAGATTCCCCCTAAAAGGCCTCTTCTCATCAAGATTAAGACAGCTGCAGTTCCAGAGGTGCAAAACTGGAATTCTTTCTAAGGCCTGACATTGGAAGGCAGGCTATGAATGTAGGCTAAACCTAAATATATGTCTTCCTGTAAACCTACACAATCCATTTTAAAGTATGAATATCAACGTGGTAGTTTATTATTATTGATGATGGCATCTTTGTTCTATATTTTAAATATATTGTGTATTTTGGTATGGCCCTTTGATTTATCTATGTATTTTTAGTTTAGCAAGCTGAGAAGAGAGGTGGGTCACACATCACTGGTATCGTTGTTATTATTATTATTATTATTACTATATTTGGAATTGAAAGCACACTCATGCCTGAGCAAGAGGATTGATAGTGCAAACTACCAGCTCAAAAAGCCCCCAAACCAGTGGTTGTCAACCTTCCTACTACCACAACCCCTTAACACAGATCCTCATGTTGTGGTGGCCCCCAACCATAAAATTATATTCATTGCTACTTCATAACTATAGTTTTGCTACTGTTATGAATCGTAATGTAAATATCTGATATGCAGGATGTACTTTCATTCACTGGACCTAATTTGGCACAAATACCCGGTATGCCCAAATTTGAATACTAGTGGGGTTAGGGGAGGGGATTGGTAATTGTCGGTGTGTAATTCATGTATGATGTGTGTTTAAATGTAATTTTATGTGATAGGATTGTGATTGTAATAGAATTGTATTGCCAGGATGTAGTTTGACACAGAAGGGTTAAACAGCAAAGTAACAAGCTGTGAGAATGTGACCCTGAGTTCTTGCTCTGTGAAAGATTAGGGAGTGCCAGAGATAAACTTCCTTCCAGCTGCAGTTTGTATTAGTTCCTATCTCTTTCGGTTTGTGTTCTTCACGTCTGTCCGCTGATGGTGTATGTTGTCTATTTTGAGCTGCTTAAGTAAAGCTGAAAACCTGCTTTTACCGGAGACTCCAGAGTCCATTATTCTGAGCTTCTGCGATACTCTGCTACCGCTAACAGTTTTGTCATTTGGGAGTTGTAGTTGCTGGGATTTATAGTTCACCTACAATCAAAGAGCATTCTGAACTCCACTAAGGATGGGATTGAACAAACTTGGCACACAGAACTCCCATGACCAATATAAAATACTGGAAGGGTTTAGTGGGCATTGACTTTGAGTTTTGGAGATGTAGTTCACCTATATCCAGAGAGCACTGTGGACTCAAACAAAGATGGATCTGGGCCAAACATGGCACAGATATTCAATATGTCCAAATGTGAACACTGGTGGAGTTTAGGGGAAATAGAGCTTGACATTTGGGAGTTGTAGTTGCTGGGATTTATAGTTCACCTACAATCAAAGAGCGTTCTAATCTCCACCAAGGATGGAATTCAACCAAACTTGACACACAGAACTCCCATCACCAACAGCAAATACTGGAAGGGCTTGGTGAGTTTTGGAGTTATAGTTCACCTATATCCAGAGAGCACTGTGAACTCAAACAATATTGGATCTGGACCAAACTTGGCACGAATATTCAATATGCCCAAATGTGAACACTGGTGGAGCTTGGGGAAAATAGACCTTGACATTTGGGAGTTGTAGCTGCTGGGATTTATAGTTCACCCACAATCAAAGAGCATTCTGAGCCCCATCAATGATAAAATTGAGCCAAACTTCCCACACAGAACCCCTATGCTTTTTAAGGGACTTGCTGACGTGAGCCTCCCTCCAGCCTCGTATACTCTTCCTTACCCACACATACACACCATGCTGCCATGCACCGAGCACGCCTGCTCTCCCCTCCCCACTTGGCTGAGAGGCCAGCCAATCACAGCAGGACTTTTGGTGGGCGGATTTGACTTCCATTTCCAAAAAGGAAGAGAAGGACAGGCAGAGAGATGTTCAGCCTTCTCTGCCAAAGGGATTCCTAAGACCATCAGAAATGCATTGTCGAAGGCTTTCGTGGCTGGAATCACTGGGTTGTTGTAGGTTTTTCAGGCTATATGGCCATATTCCAGAGGCATTCTCTCCTGGCATTTCGCCTGCATCTATGGCAAGCATCCTCAGACCTCACTACCTCTGAGGATGCTTGCCATAGATACAGGCGAAACGTCAGGAGAGAATGCCTCTAGACCATGGCCATATAGCCCGAAAAAACCTACAACAACCATCAGAAATATTTATTGGCGACCCCTTTGTAACCCCCAGATTGAGTAACGCTGATCTACAGTTTCTAATTTGTTTGATAATTTCTATTTGTAACTTTTGCGTGCTACAAATAGTTAATGTTTCTTTCACCTGTTGGAAGCCATCCAACTGGGAGCAAGTGAAAAGAAATAGAAGCATCACATGGAACAACAACAACAAGGAACAAACCATTAGGATTACGTAAGAGTAAAGACTTGCGTGGAATAATAGAGTGAATGGTGGACAAGGGGTGCATCTCTTCTAGCTAGCATTACTATGCTATGGCATCCTGGGATTTGTAGTTTGATAAGGGCTTTCAACTTCCCTGCTAAAGAGTGCTGCTGCGTCACCAAATTATAACTCCCAAGATGCCATAGCATTGAGATATAGCAGTTCAAAGTGGTGTCAAACTGCATTAATTCTACAGTTTAAATCAAAGATTATGCCAAAGGCTGATTAAACTACAAATTCCACGATTATCTCGCATTGCTCCATGGGAAGTAAAGGGATGCCAAGCTGCATTTAATTCACAGTGTTATTGAACATGGGATTTGTAGTTTTACTAAGGCCTTGGAATCTTCTCTGCTAACCTTATCTTCACCAAACTACAACTCCCAGCATCCCAAAGCATTGAGCCATGGCATTCAAACTGTATTCACAGTGCAGTTGAACCTGGGAGTTGTAGTTTTAGTAAAGTCTTGAAATCTTCTCTGCTAACCTTCTCTTTACCAAACTACAACTCCCAGCATCCTCCAAAGACATTGAGCCATGGCAGTCAAGCTGCATTCAATTTACAGTGTAGTTGGAACCTGGAAGTTGTCGTTTTACCAGACCTTGGAACCTTCTCTGCTAACTTTCTCTTCGCCAAACGACAACTCTCAGCATCCCATAAGATTGAGCCATGATATTCAAGCTGCATTCAATTCATAGTGTAGTTGAATCTGATAGTTTATTTATTTATTTATTTATACGCTTGTATACCGCTAATATCTCAGCCTAAGTCGGCGACTCATTGCGGTTTACAACAATTAAAAACAGTATTCAATTTAAAACATAAAACACATATACAATACAAATTATTGGGCCACCAATAATAATCCCATGCATCTCATAACTAAAGTCACAATCCGATATTCGTCGTCTACAAGTTCTACCAGAGTTGTAGTTCTACCAAGGTCTTGGAGCCCTCCCTGCTAACCTTCCCTTCACCAAAGTACAACTCCCAACATCCCAAAGCATTAAGCCATGGCAGCCAAACTGCATCAATTCACAGTGCAGTTGAACCTGGGATTTGTAGTTTTACCAAGGCCTTGGAAAGCAAGCAAGCAATGGGTTCAAGTGACATTAAGGAGATTCCACTTAAAGATTAGGAAGAACCTGGCTGTAAGGAGAGCTGTTCAGCAGTGGAACTCTCTGCCCTGGAGCGTGGTGGAGGCTCCTTCTTTGGAAGCTTTTAAACAGAGGCTGGATGGCCATCTGTCAGGGGTGATTTGAATGCAATATTCCTGCTTCTTGGTAGAATGGGGTTGGACTGGATGGCCCACGAAGTCTCTTCCAACTCTATAATTCTATGAAATGCTTTGTGTGTTTAGGCTGGAGTTCCCTCTCCAAGATTTCTCGTTCTGTGCCTATAATTCAATATTGGTTTTGCAAAATCTAAAACACTTCTGGTCCTGAGCAATTTGGAGAAGGGAGACTCAATTGGCTGGAATCCCAGCTTCCAAAAATGGAGTTGAATCTGAGGCAGCAAAATATGAGTCAAGATGACATCCATAAAGACAGGAAACTTTAGGGCCGCTGGAATTCCTCGGGGCCAAGACCCACTTCCTCAAATATTTGGGATTCATGGCATAGTTTTAAGACTATTGCATTTATTTGAATATGAGTTTTATTGGGAGTGCATGAAGAAAGGGATTGCCTTATTATTATTATTATTATTATTATTATTATTATTATTATTATTATATTCGTTTGAAGTCATTTCCACATTAGGTTATTCCTAAGCGGGCTTTTTGAGGCTGAGAAAGTGTGACTCCCTCAAGGTCATAGAATGGGTTCCCATGGCGTGGGTTCGAACTCAGGTCTCCAGAGTCTTGGGCTGGGTCTACACTGACATGTAATCCAGATTATCAAAGCTGATAACCCACATTGTCTGCCCTGAACTGGATTATATGAGTCTACACTGCCATATAATCCAGTTCGAAGCAAATAATCTGGATTTTATATGCTAGTATAGCCTCAAAACTGCTTTGATTCCCCTTTGGAAAGATAAAGTAGGTTATAAATACATAAATAAATAAATATATTGTTGAAGGTTTTCATGGCTGGAATCACTGGGGTGTTGTGAGTTTTCCGGGCTGTCTGTCCATGTTCCAGAAGCATTCTCTCCTGACGTTTCACCCACAACTATGGCAGGCATCCTCAGAGGTTGTGAGGACGTTCAGGAGTTCTATGGAATCAGGGGAGTTGTAGTTTGGTGAGGAACCAGCAA